ACAATCAATCACCACTAACAAGACCACTGGAAAGGAGATCGGTTTGTGGACCTCGCAGAGCGGGAGATGACAGTGGCCTGGACTTTTCATACACCGTCTGCCGCCCCAATAGCAGCCGCGTCAACAAGCACTTCCCACCTCCAAAGTCTACCCACATCGGACAGGGAAGGAGGCAGTGTTCTCCTCCATTCTCATGCTTTCAGTAGGGGAAAAGCATGTCAAAGTGGTCTTTCTTCCCTTACAATTTCACCACAATGTGGACAATCAATTGTTGCGTACACCTGAAATCCAGAAGAGGCCGTTCTGAAAGGCGAGAAGGTGCAGTGCGATTATTCGTGCCACTCGTGGTGTAGAAGTTATTGCAACGCTGGAGAGGATAGTGAAGACGAATTCGACAATGATGCGATACAGACGTATCCCCTCAGCAAGTAGCCTCAAAACCACTTTTGCGTTGCGACAATCGCTTTTCACGGCTTGTGTGCAAAAATGCATGAAACTCGCATCATTTTTAAAAAAACCAAAGCAGTATATAAAACGCTGCCTAAGGAAATGAGTGGTGGTGGTGGTGGTGGCGGAATAAGCTAAGAAGTTATTGAGAAAAGAGCTAATCATGCAATTTTCACAGCACAGTTGCAACCGATAATCGCCTCGAGGGGCGGTTTCTAAATAAAATGGCAGAGCTGGATACTTCAAACTTGAGGAGTTTGAACATTGCTAAATTGCAGTTAAAGGACAGCCAAGACGCTGGACTTGTAACCAGCTTGAAAGTAAAAAAGTTGACGAATCCCAGACTAGAGGGGGACATAACGAAAACGAGCCATGCACACTGCGACGCAGGCTTGCTTTTACACAAAATCGCATTGTACAAGGCGGTGTTTAAGTCACAATGATGTGTTTAAGTTTATGACAGCACGAAAAAGACATTCGAAGTAATTCAAGTGGTCCTTTTTTATCATTTTGCATTAGTTCTTGTGGTTGGGTAATGTAGGGCAACCTCAACATGGTTTGATCCACCAATGCAACCAAATCATTCAATCTTAGAACAGGTCTGCTCCACAGTCCTGTTAAGAAAGCTACGGCAAACTGTTTCAGGTCGCAAATGATTACGACTAGTTGCAGCATGCTCAACAATAGCACAGCAGGGTCCTTCTATAGGACCACCCCACGAAGGCATTATGCTTAAGTTTGAAGTCATAATACAAACAGTGTTACCACTGAAAATGCGCAGTCTAACACCTCTCGAAAGTTATCAGCACACACTCAGGAGGCACAGTACACAAAATGACGCTGACAGAGGCTCAGTTGATAAATTTTAGTCGTACTTTAGAGGATTAAAGGATAAGCCCTCGGTACTACTGGATAGCATGCAGCCCTTAGCCTTGTCGCCATCCCTTTTGACCAGGAGGGTCTAAATAGTACTGAACTGGCCCACGACACGCGCGTCAGCTCGAGCGTGATTCCAAATGTCATCTACGCAAATGAACAGCTTCTATGATTTAGCTTTTCTAATCGTTCCAGTTTTCCGGCAATAGAGTGCTCCTCATGCCTACACTTATCAAATTCATATCCATGGCATTACTTACTTATTGTTCAAGTCGTAGAATTTCAGCGCCGCTTGCACAGAGGTATTGAACCAGCCAGCAAAGACGAGAAGAGAAAGACCTTTCTGACGAACATCAACTTGCACCTTCGAAACCTCTTCGGGCCAGAATTCCTCCTCAGGGTCCACAATCATTAAAGTGCCTAAAGAGAGTGGAATCATTCATTACAAGGCAATAAAACGGGGACTGTTCCAATTGCGTTCCCGCGTGTATGGACTTTTTCAGGCGGTGGTAAGTCGTACACCGCACTAGTAGAACAGTCCTGCAGTGATCTGGCATTTCACCTTGCCATACCCCTCTCCATGGTTGTTGGATCTAGCATACGGAAGAAACAATAGGGACAGGAGAAACGGAACTCCATTACATTGGAGAGATAATGGCGCCTCTTGTACCGTTAACTTTCAAAAAGAAAAGCAGCCCTGCCATGACTAATCAAGACTGTGCACATTTGCAATTAGAGAACCAACAAAGTAGTGCCAAGTCTTGGCAACGAACTCGCAGACAACTGAAGGAGAACTGTTGCATGTTATTAGAACTCAAGGCCAATCCGAGAAGCTAGGTGAACAGCACTGTGATGCCCATAAAGTGGAAAACAAGGATCACTCATTAACATGATACTGTAATGATGACGATTGTAAAAAGCAAAAGTTATCAAAGAATTTTGTATTCGAAGATCTTTGCCCGTGGAAAGTTAGTAGACTAGGAAATTCATTTGTTGCAGGACATTTTTACGCATAAGCTGGCGGCTGGAAAAACGCCAGCTTATAATCGCGACGATCACCAAAACGGATTTAAAAGAAGGGTTTAATACGCATTGCTCATTCATAAACGCTCACGACCTATCCAACAACCATCTGATGAAAGAAGAGAAAATTTAAGTCGAAAGAATAAGTGAAGGATTTTGTGTATTTTTTAGTCCCTCAAGATTTTGGTATCGCTCTGATGACATGATGCCTCACCTGATATTACAATAAGCATTTCTCTAAAATGTTACATCTTGGGTTCTCATGGGTCCAATCTAGATGGCGGAAAGCGAATCGCAACTTGGCCTTGTCATGAAGGGTGTGACAACTGGGGAGCCCGAAACGTAAGTGGCTTCCAATTGACAACCTTCTCGCAGGAAAACACAGAAAATAACGGTGATGAAAATGAGGCTACCTCCAACAATCTCTTGGAGCCGAGGACTACAATTCGTCCATTCTTCAGGAATTAGAACAGATATAATTAACTCCTTACCGTACTTCGATGCGTCAAAACACGTGAATGGTTGCTGAAGGACTTCAATAAAGTAGCCAGCGTCGCGCAGGTAGAGGTAGAGGTCGCGAAAATTGGTATGGATGTGGTCGCCTAGCCTATTGAGATGAGGATAACATTTCGAATATGCTACATACAATGAAATAAACCAGACTACTGGACTAAACATTCTTAGAGTTCTCATTAACACGTTGCACATATATGATGCTCCAATCCGCCTGTTTAGGCTGCGCTAAACTGTGGTGAAAGTAAAATAAATGAGACGGAGACAATAAAGGAGAGATCAACGTTATTAAGTCATACAAATTGCACAAGTGAGAGGGAATAATGGTGTCCCCCACTTGAAAACATCTATTGCGCCAGATATCAAAAATGGTTTTGTAAAAAAAAGAACATAAGCGTAAAGATTTGATGGGAAGTACTACTGTTGACAAGCGTAGGTGGATATAAAGCCTGGAGATTCATCAACCGAACACGAAATTGGGTTGGTGAGATAGGGGAAGGGGAAAGCAAAAGGCTCGGCTGCATTGTGAGGCCAAATTCCACCCTTCACATGAGCGTTCCAGAGTGATGTGAGGAGGATGAGGTCGTACTTTGAAGCACCTCCGAGACGCGACAAAATATAGCCAGAATTTGCTGCTACCGTTAATGAGATTTCGCTATTACAAAAATCTCAAACTAGTTCAAACTAAACCAATGCTCTTGCGGTGCAAGTGAGCCCATTTGATGGACTTTACAAGCTGCTAGTGGAAAATTTTACACATTCGTGAGATGCAAGGCAGTGCAAGGCTAATAACATATCACTACATTGACCAATTTTTAGACGATTCAGGAAGTGAAGTACTCTTTACTAAGTTCGGCAGTTTGTGCCGCCGGGTGGTTGAGAAAGAACCAATCGAACAGACGACAAACACCTGTTCAGAGTAGAAGAGCGGGGAACGAAAGAAATTTATCAGCAGGTTCTAAGAAATCTCTTCAAATCATTCACCCAGTCTAGATTCAACACATGAGGAGAAGCGTAAGAGTTAGTTGACAAAGTGTAAATTCGGCTCCTTTCGCTTTCTACCACTACAAGCATGAAGAATTTATGATGCGACTCACTTCCAGGTGCGCCAAAATGCCACACATCAGTGACGCTTCACATTTGCGAAGAAAATAAATGAATGGTATCTGATGCTTGTGATGGAAAACTTTTCGCCAAGGTAAACTCTAACAATAAACGTAGGAATGGCGAGTACCATTGAGAGGCAAGCAGGCTACGATCAAAGCCTCAAAGACGTACCAATCGAGAGACGCCAAAGTCCTGGTCAAATCGTCTGTAGGCACGTAGGCCGCGGGATACCGAATATTGTGGAAGGCATCCCAGAGAATCCGCAATCTATCGAAAAAATAACAATTGTATAAATAAGCAATGAGAAGAAACAAAGATGAGAGACAAAGCCAGAAAAATGGCCAACTCACTCTCGTTTGGGAGTTGGGATGATGGGCACACGAAGGGGCAGCTTCAATTCGGTTGAGAGAGTAGTCTGAGTTGTCTGAAACGACGAGACGCCACCAGTGGTTACAATAGAGGAGTTGAAGAGTTTCAATAACTATTCCGAATAGACATTAATTTTTGAATTAATGAACGATGATGGATGCTGATGCTGATGGGGAGGAGGAATGAAAAGGTGGATTAAGTCGATAAAAGTGGATTCATCAATGACTAAAGATGAATGAATCCTCAGAATGAGCAGTGCAATCAAATGGATGCACAAATGAGTGTATGACGCACGGGAATGACGCCAGCTTTACCAACTGTCATATCAGTCCTATTGTCAACGACGAAACGGAGGCAATGTTCAAGGTTAACCAGAAATAGAAAGTTAGGCAGCAAAGTCAAGCCAACACTGAGAGCATTCAAGGGGACCTTTCTTTACAGTTAATTCACAAAGCACCAATAGAGCTACCCTTACCCTGTTTCACACCTCACCTTATGCCCCACCTATCGCAAACCGATTTCCTGATTCAACAATAATAAGTTAAGACAAGATTTCCACTTCACATTTAGTTGCCAATCGATTTTGTTGACCATACTTCAGAGTGTCACAACATCATCAACATGTTAACAACCAGAATTGGGTCTCTACGCTTCCTGAGGTCTTCCTTGACCCACTCAAACATTCTTATAGCTCGGTGTCGCCATTTTATACCATGTTTCCTATGCTGGAGCTAGGGGCAGACGCCTCCTGGTTAATCTTCACAGCACACGTTAATAAAACGCTCCTCCTCCAGTTTGCCTTTCCAATTCGCGATAGCAGAAATTCTCGTCCGTATAACGTGGTGCATGTCTCAACCGGAGGAGTGAACAGCGAGGGCATCGTCCTGTTTGCAATGCATTTTCGTACTTACGCCTTGTTTTGGCGCCAGAAGTTCAGTTGAGTTATTACGATACCTCTAGTTTCGACAAAAAGTGAAAGGACAAATAGGCAGTTCCTTCAGTTTAAATGACCTCGAACGGTTCAATGCTTTAAAAACTGGGGTAGGTTAGTGTTGAGCATGCTTGTTATCCGCTTTTGGAGATTAAAAGCGACCACCATAGTTGACGACATAAAGTTATCATTTTGCCTGGGAAGCCGTCGCCACCTCGTCCCAGTAATCGGCAAGTATACTGGACAAGCTAGGGAAAAAGTTCGACTCAATTCCGACAAACCCATTCGGACCACAACGCCACCCATATTTACTGATGGCTAAGTAGTTGATAAATTTCCCATTTTGAAAGGGATTGGATAACTCCGCGCTCTCTTCCTAAATCCAGAGCACTCCTCGATGTGTACTTTTGAGGTCCTTTACATCATCGTTTTCAACTTGATTACCGAAACCTAAATGTAAATCCAGGAATAAGCTTTCTTTTCCACACCGTCACTTCTGATTCCTTGGTAGAAAGTTTAGATTCCAACTTAGAAGGGAATAAAGAGACATCACACCAACCACCATGAAGGCAGTCTCTCAAACACAGTATCCAAGTAGAACGTTCAACTGTTCATTCAGTACATCAACTGCATAGTATTGGTTTCCACATCCCTCGTCGTTGCACTTGCAGCAAGTTGTACATTTGGAACAATGAAAGGCCTTGCCCATCGATGCAAATCAGCCACAACATTTTTAGCCGTTCGCCCACCATACAAGCATTGAGGAGAGTCAATTTCAGAAATGAGAGACCGCCTAAGCCCAACACTGCAGATAGACAAGTTTGAACCACGCAAAGCAACTATTCAACTATCCATACAATGAGCGACTTACGTGATCATCTGATTCCACCTTCAGACTGATCCACCCCTCAGCTAGTCCTCGGAAGGCTGCCGCCTCGGGTGTATCACGCACGGCGATGTGGAGGGCAAGGTGGCCCGTCCAGGGCCAGAGGTCTCGTGAGTATGTCACACCGATGTCCAAGAGGGCACCACCACCATCTCCATTAAGGTGTGGATGAAATACAGGCCTATCCACCACTCGACCGTGTACTCCCATTGAATTAATTATTGTTACCTAAACACCAAATCTGCAACAATGACCGACTCATAAGGAAGAAATGATGATCCATTGTGAATAAAATGCCCATGGGAGGTTTTGCAGCCTGATTGAATGATAAATGAAACAAATTTTAAGGGTACAGGACTAAAAAGTGAGCCCATTCCCATAAGTCTAATGGTAATGTTAGCTGTCAAGATGAGAAGTGGAGTATCACGTTTCATCAAGTTCAACTCAATCGAATTATTCCAACCTCTAGCCGTTTAACTTATGCCCACTTGACAATGATAGCAGTATTGGCTTCAGCAATATAGTCAGCAACGCCTCCCTTCCCACAATTGAACAAAAGAGCAAAGCGCCGGGTCCTCTTGCTGAAATCCCTAAGAGGGATGTTCCCCTGGGCGGGAGTCAAACCAAGTAAAGAGACTATCAGCAAAACTTCATGTATCAGACTGACTGAACAACGAAAAGATAGGACCGACAGCGTTTACCGAATCCAGTCAATAGTAGCAACTTCAAGTCCACCATTTGCCTCCACCCTTATTCAAACTAACCGTCTATCAACATTCTTAATTAAGACTATGAAAAGCAACAACCTGAGGACTGCCTATGGAACATGATTAGTTATTGTGAACGTTGCACACGACCAAATTTTGCCTCATAAAAGATGTAGTGGTCATTGCCAGAAGCCATTGGTAATTACACTCCCCTTCTCACTAATGTAATGCAATGAACAATGAAGGTGAAAAAATCCTTAACAAATGTAAAACATTTGACTTTTTGCGTCTCCGAATTCACTCCTAGTCCTCAAAAACCAACAGCCATTGAAGTGGGAGTGCACAGTCAGTCTCAAAAGCCAAGTACCACCGTTCGAATGAACCGTGGGGGAAATTGGACAGCATCCCCATTTATCCGACGCCAATGCACAAATCGAGAACAATGAGAACAGGACGATCGCTCTCTCAAACCCAACCCCATCCCATCGTGCGCTGTGTGCTGTTTGTGCAGGCCCTGAATAAACGAGATAGCGATAAAGTTATTACAACTTGTTTCTTCATCAAAAGGAATCAAATGCACTTCAGAGTAAGGGAGATCGAGAAGTACAACTGAGGTTGTGAGAAAGTAGCAAGGATATGCTGGTGTGAGGGAGAGAGAGTAATTCTTCCTGTTGACTCCGTAGAAGTTAGTGAAATTGATTGGTCAGTCATCATAGCCTACGTCTCCTCCCTATTTTTGAAATGAAACAATTTATTCTAAGGAATGTTGAGGCTGCCGGTTGATCTGTTTGTCCGTTCCTGCCCACCAGTAGGCATGTAGATGACCGCATGGATCCATGAAAATACATTAACTCGGACGTAGGAAACATTCACGCCTTGATAGTCAACACTGTCTTAGAATTCGGTTGTTGTGGTGCGAATGTGGTGGGGTCACGAGAGCCTGCTAAACAGGTGCAAAGCGTGCGTTCAGCTTCTCCCTTCTCATTATTTTCAGCAAGAAAACTACTACTATTCTCATAAACTGGTCTTCCTTGCAGTGCTACTTCCTCCTCACCGAGGCAGGAAGGCACAACCTGCTTATCAGTTAATAGGACAAGTACAGAAACTGTCACTATATGGTTTATAAATTGAAAATCCGTTTTAGTGACAATAAGAACCAAACCTTAGTCCAACGGGCGAGAATCTCTACTTCACCTATATCGGGCCCACGCCCATATAACTAAAAGGACTTCTATTTTGAACCAAAATATCAGCGGCTCGACACATTTCATTTTGACGAGCATGCAAGCGGTCTTCTCTTCCATCAACGCTTTCCTCACCATTGGGACGATTAATGAATATTAAACCTCGTCCAATCTCTCTAACACAAATTGCAGGAGATGTCGCATTTCCAACAGGGAGGCATTGCCTTCGAGTTGGAAACCTTCTAGAGTAAAGAAGACCAGTCGTTGACTGTCAAATGTCAACAATAATCCTACCGGTATTTGAAATTCCAATTTAAAAAAAAAAAAACTATGGTGAGAACTTCTGAAGCTTCGAAATGAGTTCACTCCCTTTTCAATCAAAGTGATAAACGTCTCTCAGTTAACCTCTACTTAATACATTCCATTTGCTTGATGTGAGGACGAGGGAGTGGTTTGATAAATCGCGTTTTCGCATACCGTCCTGTGCAAACGCGTACGTGGGTGACGATGAGTGGGTGTTTGTGTGTGGGCGCTGGCGTGTGAATGCGCATGTGACATCGTGACCGCGTGGAAGTGCAATTACTTCCCTTTCCTCCAGTCAGTAAATCAACTCCATCAGAAGACGCAGGACACGCGACCTGTTTTCGTTGATGTTCACACTGTGCGATTAACTGACTGATTAGGTGGGTGGTCGGGTGGATGGGTGGGTTGATAAGTCATGGTCACGAGACTCCTTCATCATCGCATTATATGACCTCGACCCGCTAATAGGCCGCCGTTATCGCACTTCGCAAAAGATGAAAATGCCCCATTAGTAGGCTCATTCCTGATAGACAGTACAGTCGCCTTTTGGACTCACGCCGTAAGGTTATACCCATCACCAGGTCACCAACAGCCAGAACGCTGATGCAACGCGACGAACACCCATGCTAGCATTTGCATAGATTTAATCGTACCGGTAAGGAACGCCTAGAAGGTCCTAGTTAAAACTAGCCCAGTTAAGTTTACGGAGGAGATCGACTTGAGGCATATGTTTGAATGGGTTATTGTCGATACTTCTGCCTGGAGTTCAAGAGGTATAAGTATTCAGAGCAAAACCCATGATATCGCCATTATACTGGGGATGCCATGCGGAGCTTTCGTCATCTCTTCCACAGAAAGGTAAGTGGGGGACTATAGTCTGGTGAATGAGGTAGCCGTACATAGGGACCATGCATCGCACCCCAAACAGCCCCAGCGTGATATTACCCGTAATACCTCTCAAGACACGACAGAAGTGGGTGATAAGGCCGGCACCAAAGATCCAGCACAAAATGATGCCACAAACGTGAAGATGTTCCCAAATCTATTTATGTGAAAAAGTAGTGTTCATTGCTTTCAGGTTAGTGGAACGAAGAGGAGAACAGCGACAACGTTCCTTGTTCTAAACATGACCAACTGAAATTGGCGGTGGAAGAGGACAGACGGACCCGCCTCATGCATATTAGATTAACATTGGCCGGAGATTTGGATTTCAATTTGAAAATGGTTGGTAAATTAATAAATAACAAAATAAATAAATAAATAAATCCCAGTGACTAATCAATCGGCTTTCCGTCCATTGAAGACCCATTTCTTGCTTCCAAAAGCTGGTCTTGATCTGAATAAGTCATGCTTGCATAAAATCAGTGCAGGAAAATCACTTGACTGTATTAAGTGGGAGAGAATAATTACCAAACCCAGAGCAGGCCTTTGATTTCTGAAAATTAGAACAGAGAAGAATCATCAACATAACAGCATTGGACGAGTCTCTGAATAATCAGGAGGATAAATAGGAGAGCCAAACCATCTTATATCCCTCGTCAAATTTCGGTAAAACAATGAGGTTTCATCCTCCGTTCCCAAGTCGCCAGTTTTGCTTTAAGGTAGCATCTCTGCCTCACAATGCACTTACTGTTTACCGTAATTTCTCCTCGCTTTAAATTACCACTTCATTTCGACCACGCAGAGCAACGTTAACGTGAGGATGACAAATCGGCTTTGGAAATATGCGCACACTCTTCAGTCTCAGGTGAAATTTTGCAACGTCCTACGCAGGATACGGTTCCGAACCGAAAAGAACATGTATCTGCTACTCTCATCTTCCATTGCCAACACGCTGTGACATTCGCTCACGCTCAAACCGTCAGCCGTAATTCAACTTGGCAGTTCCTTGCTATCATCGTTGGAGTGGAAATAAGCTTCTCCTTTGGAAAATATATGAATTTTGAAACATCCTTGCTGAAACCCGTTCAACAATGAAGTAACGTTTACTTCAGATCCTCACATCCAACCGATTTTACGTCTCGCATTTTGTCTGGCAGCGTGACAAACACCTGATAAAATCTGACGAAGGCGAGCAGTTTGTGAGGTCTCTAGTGGCGGTTTAAACAAGAGGAGGAGAAGACACTTTTAGTTTTACAACGGTTCTACTAACGAATAGATAGCAATCATGTTTACAAATGTCATAGCCACATCATTGAAAGCAAAGCCGAACTTTTGACGCATTTTGAGAGAAGTTTGACCATTTACCCACAATACTCACTTCTACTCAGTTCTAATGTTCAAAACGAACAAAGTGTTTGAAAGAAGCTAAGTCCAACTAGATGTAAGGAGAGCACCGCACGATCACCGTTTCATTGGCGTTAGTGAACCGCCTTCATCCACGAGTCGGTAAGTGGAGGCAATTCAACATTCTCAATTGTAAGAAATAAGGGCCAGTTGGAAGACGAGGAATCGACTCAAATTAATAAGGGTTAAGCACACCAGTATCCTCCAAGGGATACAAGATACTCCATAACACCAAATTGCACTCGAAGAGGAAAAAGTGTCAGTGAAAGGCTTTGAAAAAGATGGGAGATCTAATGCACGGAATGACGGAGCCAGTGAAGCCAATGACACGACTTCTTCAACCAATGGCATCAGTTATTGTTACAAACGACATTTGCTTAGATTTTCAAGCAAGGCGACAATTAATGCCCATCAATGAAAATCAAAAGGGAGCGTACGTGTTGTTGACGAATTCGCCTCTAGGATAGGAGTCGGTGCTGTGAAGTTACAAAAGCAAAACGATTATCCTTCAGTCTTGAAAACGAGTCAGTCAAGTATCGTATTGCGGTATGAGTCTACGACAGCATGAATCCACAGTGGAGAACAATTCGCCAATGTTCCATCATCCCTTAACTAATCAGCACACCATTGACCAGAAGAGAAGAATCCCGCTAAATCCCCTCTACAATGTGTGAATTGAACAGGTTCCAATTCCTCAACTCATCTAACCAGTCGCCGAAGTCGTCAAAAATATACCAATTAGCCATGTCAAGCTCCCAGACCTGCCAAATATTTACGAAAACACGGAAAGGCATAGACGATCAGGCTGAAAATCACGACTCCATTGGCAGGGAGTCAGTAACAAATAAAAGGTTAATATGAAAGGAGAGTACAGAAAAATAAAGAGAATGAACTCACATTGACGACGATGGGCAGACCGGAGGCGTAGAGAGGCTGACTGCAATAGGGCCAGAAGTAGGGACACTCCATGAAGTCCAAGTAGCTGGGCCACAAACTCGCCTGTGGCTTCAATCGGCGCATTATCTTTTGAGATATAAAAAGATGAGAAGATGTGAAACAATGAAACCAACACCCTCAACACTACTTAAAGGCCGATCACTGAAAAGCAACCGTCACTGGTAAGAAAGCAAATTCCAAATAATCCAGCATACAAACTAGCAACCTATCGCTTTTGTATTCTCGACTCTGACCTCCGAACAGAATACTCCTCTAGTATAGTTTTCGATAAGTGACATTTTTATTTAGAAAAAATGAAAATTGAAGTTCAGCAATTCAAGCTATCGTGTAAATAATTATTCCATAAAGAGTCTGCGAAAAACCACTCACAGTACGGCAATTATTAGACCAAAGGAAACAAATAAGGAGCATCAACCCTATGGAAACTCCATTCCACTATTTGATAACATACGTCGATTGAATTTTGTAGATTCAGTAGTCCAGCTCCCTGTTCAAAGATAGAGAACTTCCTTCTCCCCTCAGAATCAACCACAGCATCAGCCCCAGCAGCTATCGCCTGTTTCAAACTTGCTGGATTTATTGGTGGTCGGTCCAGCGGCTCCTCTAACAAAGCAGCACTAAAGTAAACCAAAACCACCCTCCATAATCAAGATAGTCTTCTATCTGCCACTCAACTTCACCAATGGTCTCATTAACCCACCTAATAAGCAATGCGATGGACCCAGTTACAACAGGAGAAACGGCACTTGTCCCCGATAAGATTTTGCATCCGCCATGGAGGTTCGAACTGACAATTCCGGTTGCCCAACCAACCACATCCGGTTTAAACCGTCCATAACCGTCTCGCATCTCCTGCAATTAAAATAATACAATATCGTATCGGTTAGAATTGAATAAGTGGAATAAATATAAGCAATTTAGCTGACCATTGCGGTAGCTCCGCGAGAAGAAAATGTAGCTATATCACCATTAGCGTCCACGCCACCCACTCCAAGCACATCCATCAGATCAGCAGGATTGTTGAGACTACCAAACACAGGTCCATCGTTACCGATGGCAGAGACAAGGAGGATCCCATTGGCGGACAGCTCGTTGACCTTGTCCACAAAGGGCTGATCCATGAAATCGGGTCCTCCATTGGACAGATTTATGACATGGAGACGCTTCATGATGGCATAATTGAAGGCATCAAGGAACCACGAAGTCATGGAGAGTTGCGTATCAGTAAAGACACGAAAAATGTATAATTCAGATCGCGGAGCTAGACCAGCGGTGGGACAGGTGAGAGTTAAAGGAGAAGCGGAGGAATACGGTGCGGCGGCAATCAATCCCGTCACAAAAGTGCCATGACCGTGGCCATCTAAAGCGCCTGGATTTGGGTCCTTCGTAAAAAATCAATGATGTGAGTAAGCGCCTTGAAAGGAAGGCACATCAACTTACCGACCGAGAGTCTCGATTAAGACGCCACGTCCAGTTCGAACGCTCCCTGATGTTAGCGTTGCGAAAGTGGCTGTGTAGATTGGTGTTTACGAGGCCAGTATCGAAGATGCCAACACGTACGCCCTGCCCACATATTCCTGCCAACCAGGCAGAACTCCACGCTGACAGTCTTCTCCATGGCTATGCAAAGAAGGAAAGGAATCAAGTAGTTACCACCCTTAAGTTCTCTGAAAGCTAATAAGCTTCGTACTAATAACTTATTAGTAAAACTAAAGACTGGTAATAGATGCCAACTTGACCAGCTTATGACAGTTATCAACGGAAAACGTAAATGTCTCTGCCTTCATTCCTTACTCCATCAAAGCAAAGTGAAAGAGCACACTCAAAGAGGCTTCATATCGGCACACAAAAGCGTTCGACTGAAGTACCCGTATGGTGCAAATCTGGCGAGTTTAGGAGCAAAAAACATTCCAATTTCCTTTGAATTGCCACCCTGACTGCAAAAATCGAAGTTGATAAAATGTACTAGTATGATGAGCACACTTTAGGAAATAGTGACATAGTACTTAAGTAGCCATCCGCAGAATTACAACTTAGAAAATTCGTCGCAATAAATCGGATTGCGGCATTAAAAAAGAAGAGAGCTTAGAAGAGACCAGAATTTTCGGTTTCAAATAATAACCCACATCCTCGAAATGTCTATCATGCAATGTTAAGCAGTAACCTTAACCATTATGAAGACAAAGAACACGCAAATGTGTTGAAATAATTCACCTGGTTATTACGTTCTAAGTTCACCGTCCCAGGAGCTTCTCGATAATTGAACTGAAAAAATTGAAGAGTAGGAACCGACCTCATATAGAGCATGCTTTAAACCGACAACTTACGTCCGATCTTCCCGATTTTCCGTAGGACTTTCCTAAAAGGTAATAAAATACGTACAACATATCTCCCAGCCTTCGACTGACCTGAGAGTAAGAAAACGCGTCTTCGGAGGTTTACACGATGCCATACCAAAATTTACATTGGCCGGGCGTAATAGCACAGGTTTGTCAGAATAGACATTTTTAATAAACACTGATAAACGCAGACGCAGTATCATATCTGCAATCCCTGTCAGATTCAGGTTACGCACCTAAATAATTTAGAATAGAATCTGGAAAAGGAATGCAACAACCTCAATCACTTCAAAATCACTTATGGAGAGATGCTCCACAAACGAATAATTCCGATTCACAAATGAAAAATATGACGTGAAATCACCGAGAGCAGACGCGATGGATGATTTCCGAAACTCTTCATTGTGATACGCTTTGAAGAGTACAATAAAATCTGCAAGCAGAAAATGCACCCAGTTGGCTCGCAATAATAACGCCGGCACCAGCACGTCAACGGTACGTGAATTAATTTGGCAGCGCTAAATTCAACTACATTATAATTGACCAACGAATGTAGCTACTACTAAATTACTAAAGGTCGAGTTTAACCGCCGACGACGTGAGCCAAATACTTACGCTGATTCAAATCCTTCCCGAGCGTACAATATAACTCAAAAATAAGAAAGAATACTGTAGAAAGGCAACCGATATACATCATTGAGCCGTGAATACTGAACAAAAGGGCCAAGTTCCACCTCAACAAAATAGGCTATTTAGTACCAGATAAACTTCAAGGTGATTATTTCGACGAGTTGACATACAACATGTGCCAAAACTATTTCTTTTTAAAAATTATTGGCGCAGCCGATGATTAAAAGTGTATTAACAGTTGTAATGTGGATTAAAAACCCAAAAATTAGATTGGTTAAATACGTGTTTTTTCGAACATTATTTTGCATAACCAAAAATTCCAAGCATTTTTTTCAAGGGATCTATGTAATACATACTAGGATGTTTAAGTTGACCTTTATAGGGAAGGGGTCACAACTGAAATGGAACTTAAATTCCCATGCGTGAGGATAGAGGGGAATATCCCTCTAGGTGATACCGGCTATTCAGCTCATCTGTACTCCTATGCCTGTTTTTCCTGTATTCAAGGTCCCATAAATCAACTGCAACTAACCCTCTCTAGAAGTCCGCGAATGAAACTGGCTTCCTTGAACCAATGTTTCCTTAACGCTTTTCGAAGGTCCAAAAGGAGATGGATTAATTGCTTTTGTAGCTTTCCGAGACTTCCCTTGGGCGGAAGGAAGCATCGAATTGGGCAGAATACATGAACTCTATAAATAGAAGAAGGGATATGGTCTTTGCATGTCCCCAGGTTCAGCCCACGCTTGCAAGAGCAAAGCTAATGCCAATGTGACCACCATTTATCAGAAGTCACACAAACAAAGTTTTCCACTCTGTAAAGCTTCATTTATTTCATTATTCTTGTAGCTAGTTGTAGCGTCCTGAGGCTTCCCACCAGATGGATGCATGCATTCCGAAGAGAACAGAGCAAATGGGCCTTAGCATGGCCTGAAGGCTAGCCCACGAGTAGAAGAACCGGATAAATCCTAAAGTGACCGCCAAACGTCAGATAAGCACATAAACAAAACATTATGCTGATTTTGCAGCACCTTCCTCCTCACTCTCTTCGTCCTTAATCTAAGTCTCTTGGGAAGGGCGATGGTTTGTTGATGACCTCCTGGGCATTGCTATGGAGGTAGAGTTTGAAGTTAAGACATACAAGCTAGTTCCAGGAATGGTCCTCAAAATCCACTTGCTTAGCATTTGAATTGAATTTGCGCCGCCCTCCTGCAATGCACAATTTAACCGATCGATATGTGCTACGAAGCCTCCCCTCCCTTTTAAGGTCACCACCTTAACCGGGCTGTAGGGGTCATGTCCGGGGCTGGTAGAACTTCGAATGTATGCAAAAAGAGGGATTTGTGCGTACACTTAGGTCAGATCTCCCTGTTTATAAACATTAATGTTGAGCTGCCTACAGCGGAACCTCTTCTGCCTGGCACGCTGAAATGAACACTGTCTAAGGCCTTTTTGGGGTCCTCGACGCACTCCAGAGCTTTATCTGCTAACGTACCGTTGCTGGAGAGAGCGGTATTCGAAGGGCCTCTCATTCAGCGACCTATGGGTAGCCTTAGAGACGAAACTCCTGTCGAAGAATGGGCGGCACCACGGTGCGATTCGCACGCCTTTAGTAAAGGCTTTCAAGAGGTCTATGGGCGTTCGATGTGTTCTCCCTGTTTGTCCATTACCCTATGAGTGTCCGAGCCTCGTGCGTGTTTTGCGAGTCTCGAAAGTTTTGCTCTGTTTCGCAAAGAGTTGGTTTTCGTAATTTGGATCTTAGTCACTATGGGCCGATTCGGTTACACTGTGTTGACAGATCTAGCAATTGAAGAATGTTGTTATCACCTTCCTTTCCCCACATGGCAAGTTGCTTATGTAACTCCAACAGAGCGGTCTGGATCTCCTAATTAGGTACCACGAGGCGTTTGGGACTGGCTGCACTGTCTGTGTACTACAGGATTTCATCCCTCCAGTTCCGCCGTATTTATTTGAATCATCTTTTTGGCTGCGACTTTGGACGTAGAGGACCTTAGAGTCTAGCACACAAAAGCTGTATCGGATTCTGAGCTCTGCATGTTTCCTTAGTTTTGGTTAGTAGGTCCGTTTAATAAGGAGATTTTCGTGACAGGGCGTTTCCACTGCCATGCGGGCTTCATTTCCCACACTGCACGACAAAGTCATATTGCTGTAGTTCATACCACTTTGCGTCAGAGTGGTCGATCTTCTTCGTCATCTTCAACAATGCTGGTGCTTGATCAAATCTCCGAACTACGAATTTGTGCCTATGAAGTAGTGTTTAAAATGTCTAACAATTTTATAAATGGCGGACAGTCCTCATTCTGTTGCCCACTTCTGTCTCATCTTTTTGCTTAGACGTGAGCTGGCGCATGTGATCATGTGTCTTCTCTCGTCTTTGCCCTTTTGGGGTAGAACTCCGCCTACCGGTACACATCTTGCGTCTGTGTCCAGCACAAAGGGTGACGCGTTTGCTTCGAAGTCGGTTAGAGGAAGTACCACTGCTGAACTGATGGTTTCTTTTACCTTCTTAAACGTCTCCGCATGATCATTCATCGCAGCGGAACTCCTTTTTCCTTTGCGTTTCTGCTAATTTGCGCTGCAGGCCTGCAATCTTGGCAAAATCTTGGACAAGCCGATGGTGACAGTATGCCAGACTGAGAAAGCTAAGGAATTCTGTTTGACTAGTTTAAGTTGGCAGCGTCCTTACTTACTTTGTTCTCCTATAACTGACTTTTCTTCAACTGAGTACGTTTGTTTCAAGAAGGTATCCAAGCTTCATGGAAAATAGCACTTCCTTGGGTTCACTATCAACACCATTTCTCGAAGGCGATCTAGCACCAGGCGGATGGGTGGAATGAATTTGCTTGTCGCTTTCCCGGAAGGTCTGGTCATCTGTTGCGGCGCCTGGGAGACAGAAGACTGTACTATACCGTACTGAAATGTGCTTCTTGCCCTTTGGCGACTGGCAGGTATGTGAGGTTGTACAAACGGCAAGTCCTTACCGGGATGAGCTGTTCCATTAGGACAAAACAGTGGACACCTCTTTTGAAGTGGGCGGCTACCCATGTGACTACTTGTTGGGGGTCGCTTCTTTTGAAGAGCTGCTCTGTTAGCTGCTGCAGATTGTTCACATACTCTACGTATCTCTGACGAGGATTCTGAAGTTGTTGGGCAGCTTCTCACACCACTTGTCTTTGTCGGACGTAGGAGAGATGTCTGTGTGCATCGCACCGAAGTGTATATCCAGAGGTAGGGCATAGTGAAGAAGTGGAAGTCTTTGGCCCTACTTACAGAGGCTCAGATCGCTCCTCATGCACCTAAGCCGCTGGTCAATGTTTGGGCCTTCACTGAAAGGAGTGATGTCGACTGGCGCTGTCATCAGAACAGCACCTTCCTCTCCACACCCTTCGTCCTTAATTTCAGTCTTTTGAGAAGGACGATGGTTCGATGATGACTTATTGGGCATTTCTAGGCAAGTACAGCTGTAGGGGCGGAAGTACAACCAAGTCATACGAGATATCGCGCTGCCATCCTACACTGCACAATTAAAACGACCAACGTGTGCTGCAGCGGTTAATTTGGCTCTTCCTAGGTGGGTTGGCCTTCTGGCCATGCCAGAGCTTCACGTCTTCACCTTCTCTCTGAACGCAAGCATTTAGTCATGATTTATGTCTTTCACCATCAAATGGGAAGTCTTGGGATGTTGCAGTCCCACTAGGCCTCCATCCAAGTAGAAGAAGGCATTACGTAAGGCTGAATATGTGCATTCAAGAAGGAATGCCAGTGAATGGGCTTTGGCTCGGACCAGAAGTTTAGTCACCACTCACATTAAGTTGAATTTACGGCTTTTATTACAGGAGCAATTCTATATTTCGCTAGAAATGCAATATAAATTGTGGTTAACCCAGTTTAAATTAAACTTTTTGCTTCGTATTTGTCATGCATTTGTTGTCCAAATCATCAACACCTTGAGCGTGCATTTTATTACGTTACAGCCATATTGTCGGCGCCACTTTGTTTATGTGGCTATCTGTCGTCTGACGGTGACTTGGGCATTCATCGGACCGTTCTAAGCGTGGGCTAGCCTTCAGGCCAAGCCAGACCCTATCCCTTCTTCTTCCTCTTCTTCCTCTTCTTCTTCTTCTTCTTCCTCTTCCTCTTCTTCTTCCTCTTCTTCCTCTTAAAATGCATGTATTCTGCTCAATCTAATGCACATTTCCACCAGGTGGCATGGAGAGGGAACGCAAAGCCCCGATTTACACAGTTCTGCCTTGTAGAGTTACCTCCTTGTCTGCCGATCCCCAAAATTGTATCTCGAGGAGCATGCGCAAAGTTACAACTTCCATGTTGCTTTAAATGACAAATTGAAAACTGAAACATAATCAGCCACTTTCCCGCATGGCACCGTTTCGCTAACGAGAAGAAACGCTGATCGCGATTCGAGGAGCATAAGACCAAGTTAGCATCTTAGGACCGAGCAAATAAGTAAAGGTTGTACCTTCACACATTAAGGCGGCTTAGCTTTATGGGCTCGAACGCCGCCTCCTATCACAGCACCAGAAGGGGAAGTGGTGCAGGAGTGGGCAGTGCTCTGTCAACTGCCACCCGATCTCGATCTGAACTTTCTTCACTTATAAGGCGTCACTCTTAATCAAACCACTTTTTCCACACATTAAGTAAATCAGCTCCACGACTTAAAACACGCTCCTACTCAGTCGCAAGTACTAACGTGCTGGTTAAAATGAAGTAAAATCGAGCGGAGCTTCGTCTGAATCGGTATGATTATGCAAGTCGCACCAGACTGGTGAGTTGCAGGTGGTGTGTCATTCTCTGCGAACCCCACGGAAAATTCCAAAGGTCGTTAATACATGGAAATTAATACGTGTTAACCCATCCCATCTGCTAGCGTTTGTTGACGGTAGTGGCATGGGAAGTGGTCATTCCTGCCCGTTGCACACCACCGCAAGTGGGAGCGCTAGCGCATGAAACGATTTCTGAGGAAAGGTGAAGAATAAAGTGTGCGCATGCTTTTTTCTCCTTTTCTGTGTCAACATTTGTGAATTTTGAAGGACCGTCAATGACGGCTAGTACTGTGAGCTGAGGGCTCAGAGAAACCAACAGCTTTAGGCGGCTACTCCACCAGGGACGTGTGTGTGAATGGTGTGCGTCGTCGTCACAGCGCCATGACGAGTGATGACGAAGCTCAAAGACGCACGTGTAGAGACGAAGTTAGTTGCTGCATCCACTGCTCATTTGTGTAAAGGTTGTAAATTTTGCCGAAGAACGCCGAGCGTACCACCCAAGAGTGCTGCCTTTCTAATGAAAAGGCATTCCATGTAAGAGTTTAGACAACCACAGAGATCTGACTACATCAAAGAAATATTTAGAATAAAAAATCTGAAACCATAATTTTGTGTGAATTTGTCAACGGTGTACTTGCTTGGAAAGTGGTTCATTTTAGTGTTGTGCAAGGAGTTAAATGGTGGCTTGTTGACCGTCGTCTGCCGCCTTCAGCGCCTTCTTCCCCTCGACTGCGATGGGACTACGATGATGGGAACGGCAAGCTTCTCAAAATCAGACGACATAATCAACTAAGAGACGCACTTAGATGCAATTTCCCTGTACTGTGTAGCGCTTCATCTGCTTCTGAGAGACCACTGTAATGTGCCGTAGTAAAGTCAAGGCGGCGAAGCACTGTTGGCAAATTCTTCTAATCCCAAAATAGCAGCCACGAGAAAAATCTGACCAATGATGGAACCACGCACATTACACGCCTGGCAAATCTCTCACACAACCAGCCGCTGAGTTTTTGGCTTCCTTTCTCCTCATCCTTCCTTCGCCTCGTTCTCTTCCTGCCTTTGGCCATTGTCTCTCTCTCTCTCTAACACGCCAACCTCCTTTGCCTGGAGTCCGAGGACATTAAAAGGCCTAAAATAAGTCGATTAGAAGACTGCTGTTGTGATTTGCAGTAAGCTCTGCAACCATTATCACTTTACCATTATTATCCTCCCTCCACCACTGTCCCTGCCTTGGCGTGATTCATTCCTGCATTTAATCAAACTAAAAACCAGTCAATGTAGGGTACCGAGAGGGAACCAAGAATGACCTCTTGAGGTCCCTTCTCTAAAAGAAGTTCAGTGGCCCTTCAAACGAAGCTGATCCACTTAATTGGGACCAAAGTGAAAACTCCTGCTAGACTATTGTAGCTTCTTTCGAATTCCACAGGGCAACTCCTTTAATACATCTGCCATTTTTAATATCGCACAAACCGATTGCTTTCCTCTTTCTTGCTCACTGGTACTAGGAGATAGAGTACACAACCCAAAAACAAGAAATTTCGAGCCCTGATCCATTCTCTTTCTCCCCAAATCTCAATATCAACAAAACTTCAGTAAAAGCTTTCTCTCCTTCCTCAATTAACGCCCCTTTTGCGAACTCCTTTCACCTCTTCCTTCAACTCATCTCTCATAATGAAACTATAGAATAAGACAGAGGCCCGTGGCATAGACTAAAACAAGGCGTCAACTTGGCTGAAGCAAAAGAGACTGCATCCTGCTTTAGCTTGACTAGTGGACTGCGGTCAACATTCAGTGGACAATTACCATCATCATCCACATTCCGATTGATGTTGGTGAAGTTATTTGTCATCGACGAGAATCAATCCTGCCATTTAGCTCTTCGAACTTATGCGCCCAGTCACTTACGCACAAACTTCTTGGCACTGACTAAAGGGTATTAAAAGAATAAAGCTATTCCGAGACACCGCTTGGACACACCCTTTCACGTTCTGTGTCGAAGTGCTAGATGTGCAAACGAATCATAAACGGTGCAAGGAAGGTCTGTTTTGCAAGGCCACTCTCCTGTAAAATAAAAATAAACAATCGCAAATAGAATCGCACTTCTGTCTTTAGTGCGAGTTTAGTACCAGTCTTGTCACCCCACGACAGCAATGCGTAGTGACGTTAGTGGAGAAAATACTTTCAGTAATAGTGATCGACAGCGTTTGTTTGGTTAACAATGAAGCCTAATGTCTCTATCTACAGGCTTAGAGACCACGTACCTTGCGATTCTACACTCAACACGAAAGGTGCACATCGACCACCGTCTACCTGATCACTTCTACTGCGAATCAAGGGAGGATAATTAACCTCCGCAGATAAGCTAGTCAGCCGTTTCAAGGTGTAACAGACGAACACACAATGCTTATCACCCCTGCAATATTTCGCATCATTCTGAGTGTAATGTAACTGGGAAGCACAAGATCAACCGAAGAAAATGTACAGGCGAAGCACTCTTTTAAGGTAGACAACGAACGACCCTACGTCTATTAGGCATCCTGGTGGCGTTGTTTTGCAAGAAAAAAGCTATGGCATCAGCACAAGTCACTAAGAGTTTCGCCAACACACAGTAGATGCCATGAACTTCCGCATAGGCCAAAAGTCGCTAAAGACTGGGAAACTAAGACATAAGGTGTCCAGACGCAAGACCAAAGTCCCTCTAAGGGTCCCAAAAACGGTGCTTTCTCCGCAAACTTAAAACTTACACTCACCTTCCACGTAATCAACATCGGAAAATAGAAACAGTTAGTGCGACTATAAATGTAATCGAAGAATACACTTTGTCCGAAGTAATAAGGAATTTGGCAAGTCAACATCAAGCGACGCCAACATGACGGTGTTTCAACATTTAAACATGTTTCTTTGACTCAATGATAAGTGGACCAACGTTATCACCAGTCTCCGCATTGTGAGCATTGTGCGTTCCATCGCAAAGTGGGAACTAAAGATGTGGTAAGATAGGAATCTGGTGTCTTGCCTTCTTAGATTTCCAACATCGACAGTAAACGCCCTTCCTGCCAATCGACTCGATGTCAATAAAGTCAACCACCTTTTCCTGGTTCTTTTTAATTACTTCATTGATATGGTGGTAAAAGCATCTATTTCTCACAGTGAAATACACGGAGTAACCTAGAGCGGTAAAAACACCGCTGAAAACAGTTAGCCTAACAAGATCCCTAACTAAATTCTTAAAGTTTGTCAATTTGCATACGTGATAGCGAAAAGAGCCCAGAAAAGGTCTCAGGAATAGGTACTGCGGCCAATAAATCCGGTATATGGATGCGGACCACGTTATGCAATACATTCATTGTCCAAGACTAATCAGCTATGTCCTTCGGCAAGTTGTATTCGGGTTAGTTTATATATAAATTTAAACAAATTTTTCAATTTACATCCACACCTTATCTGAAGGGCAGGCAGCATAGTTATACAAATCAAGCTTCTGCAACTTAATGATGGCATACGCAAACTATAATGAACGCACATGAAGTACCCTCACAACATGGTAAATTCGGTGACTAAGTGGAATGCTATTTTACATTACGCATAGATTGACCGGGTTATTTCTTGGATATCTACCGAATTTTTTATAAAATATTTGATTATGGGTTGTCAATGTTGTAGAAACTGCTTTCCCATCTTCATGTCCTTGAACCGCGGACTTCAAGAGAGGGTTGGAGTAGGGAGTAGGACTACAGATGAGCCGAATAGCAAATATCACCTAGAGACGGAATCCACACGACCCTCTGTAGCGTTCCGAGGCTTTGGATACATGTATTTCAAAGCGTACAGAACAAATGGACCGGGCATGGCCTGACGGCCAGGTTACGAGTACAAGGGTCAGACAAATTTTATAGTGATCGCCAAACATCAGGTAGTCACATAAAAAAGCAGCACACTGCCCCTCTTCTTTTGAGCTGCGTTCTCGGCACCCCTCTTCCAACATCTTCCGCGCCACCTATCACAACATATTCGGTACTACAGGAAAGCGCCCACGAGCCAACCGCACCAGTCGACATATAGCATCAGGCTAAAGAACCGTACTTGGTCTCCTTGACAGCTTCAACTGGATCTGCAGTTATGTTCGGTCTGACAACCTGAGTCGGGACCGCATACACCTAGAACATATATGTTACAGGGAAAGCGGGATGAACCACTGTCCCCTATGCAAGGAGAACCGTAGTGTCATTTCCGACACATAAACACGCATTTTGTATGAGAAATTCCGACACGAAATATTTTCAGATAGTTCACGGTAGTGTCGCTTCAGTTGTTAATAGCTTGTCTGTGGAATACGGGAATAAGGTGAAGCCAAATGCAAATGTCGATCTCGACGCTTTCATTGTGGGAGATTCCGAGATTCCCCGCTACAGATGCAAATACGTTTCTCCCACACCATAGGTGCAAGCAACGAAGGGAATGTGCTAGGGTAGAAGTTGTTAGAAGAATATCCGGTTTTTTTTCCGCTGCCAGCAATGGGGTGTCCCGAGATTTCTCACAGAGTGGAAGAAGGCAGTAAGCGAGGCTGAATGCATGTATTCCGAAGAGGACTGAGCAAATGGACCTGAACATAGCCCGAGAGGCAGCCCACGAGTGCAAGGGCCAACTTAAACACTAGTAACTGTTAACCCCCGCCCCAGTAGATTCCCGTCAGGCGACTTCTCTTCTTCTACCACCGTATAGACTTCGTCCTCGTATCCTACTGGGGGCGAACCCGTATATGAACCAATCTCGTTATGATATATTGTTTGAAGCAACTGACTTTTGATTATCCGGTAAGGTTCCATGCTCCAGGGGTGGTAAAATTTCCGATGAGTTCCTAGCGGGGGAATTGGTCTAGACAATTGCACCAAATCGCCCTCTCTAAAGACGTTTGTTCGACTCTGTCTGTCGTAGGACCTCTTTTGTCAAGCGTATGCTTTCTTCAGCTGTCTGCGCGTGGCGTCAAACACTTTCCTTAAATTCTCTTTTAGTCGCAAGGCATACCGAGGCGCGTTATCCTTTGATGATTTCTTGCGAAATGTCGTAAGGGATTCCAAATTTCACGGCCCGTGAGCAGCTTGAATTGTGAGACTCCAGTCGAGGTGTGAGTGCAGCGACCGTTTAGATTAGTTCCGGGGACGGCGAGACCGACAAAAACGGATCTGCATATATCATTTGCATCATTCTTTGGCTTCTATTTGGAGCTTCGATGGGCTGTGATCATGCCTGTATCGAATTCCATGGTCGCGCTAGACTGGCGTAAGAAGTCGGCTCCAAGCAGTACTTCCCAGACAAGTTCTGGACACAGCACAAAATTCACCTCCCACCTATCCTTCCCGATTGAGACCCTGACGGATGCTTCTCCTATTACCGATATTTCCTGTCCTTCTGCAGATCGTGGTATGGTAGCCGGTGGAGTAATATTAACCTTGTTGCAAACCATGAGGGAAGCTTGTGGGTTTAGTAGGGAACTGACTGCTCCCGAGGCCAGAAGGAATGAGCATGTGTGATCGTCTATCTTGCCCGTAGGCGTATTAAAGCATGCGATCGTGAGGAATGCAGACACGACAAAGAAAACTCTGTCTTG